ACGTTTCTCCTTGAAATGAATAAACTCGGCAATTGATACTAGCAAACTTGTTCTCAAAATTTCAACAACTTCCTGGGATTAGGAGACCAGCACCATCGAAATTGATAATTGCACTCCTAATTTCCAGTATCTCGGTGTGTAAGGATCTTAAGTTTTACTAACGTTTATTTTATTTTAAATCTTTACTATCACTTCTTATGTTCTACTTCCGGACAGAATTAAAAGCTTTAACTTATTTATGCAAATTTGTTGGCGAACGCCAAGTACTTAAGTTGTGGCTTTTTGCCAAGCAAAAGGGAGGAAGGAGTTAGTAGAAGCAGGCCTCTTGCCTTAGCAGTTTTACTCGGTTGCAGGTTGCCTTCCAGGCCAGAGGTTTAATCCTCTTAATAATTTTAAACGTATTGTAGTGTTAACAGTTCTCTGTACTACATACGGCTTCCTGTTAATATACGACCAATCTTCCACGTAGGCCCTTGTTTATTATTCCAAAGTTAAGTTAGAGTTTAGTTAATATTTTTATATTCTTACGTTCAGACCACAAGTGGTTGTCTCTGTATTCCGAAGTCCGGAAATCATTGTAAAGAGTGAAAAATAAAGGGTTTCGTATACCCTTCCTGTGTATCTTGTCTACTTTCCACATTTATTGAACATAGCTTTAGTAAGCTCCCTGTTCCGAGTCAGGTTCTTGAATGTTCCCAAAGCAAGTAAGGAGAAACACTGAACCTGATAGATGGAACCTCCAATTAATTAAGACGATAATGTATTTTGCAGTAATTGGCAAAACAGGCACTCTTCTTAGTAGAACATAAATTTTATTTCTAGTTCACGGAGATAGATAATTTGACGAAATTCTTTAGTGGCAAAACTTTCATACTACTACTAGCTGGTAAAAAATTTCATAATCTAATTTTAAAACAATTTCTCACGTTGCTGAGCAACGGTTACGTATTACAAATATGGCGTTGCCACTTCAACAATAAATATAGTTATTTATTAAATAACAAGATATTACAACGTGTATATCTCGCATAACTCAAAAACGAGTAACCGCAGAACGTTGAAATTTTGTATATAGGACTGCTATAACTTCTAGTTGTGCACCTCTGTTTTTGTTGCAACCGGCCTCACCGAATGTATATAAATATATGTAAAATAAAAAAAATACTATGGCTTTGCTCTACGCGAACAGGCAACCACTAATTAACTTTCCGCAATTTCAGGATCTTCTCCCTTGACACCAGTACTTTCGAAAACATTCTGGCATGTTACGTAGTCGCTACTCTAAATGAAGAGTTTGCGAAACCCTTTGTCGCACCATCCTGCCTCACCAAATCTTTCGGACATCCTGGATATCATCCTTACCAATACTTCTATCCCTATTTCCTTGGAAGTCAAGGCAGAACTTACATCTGATCTTACCTGTCATTGCTTCTCTTGGTGTTTCTAAAGAAGACCCTCCTATTAGCAGAAATAATACTGACTGGATTACTTTTCACAATATCTTAAACATCCTCCTATTTTCAATTTTCACTTCGCTTTCTACCAAACAGGATATTGATTTTGCTATTCAAATCTTCACTGACAGTATAATGAAAACTTTCAGAGATGCTACAATTACCATTCAATTAACTAACAAAAATATTCGACTCCCTCCGCAGACATTATCAAAAAAAGAAATCGATTGCTGAAGCTTTGGTACCGTAACTGGGACCCTGCCCTTAAAAGAGAAATCAATGTTTTTAATAGAAGAATCAAGAAGCTTATCACTGATTTTAAAAAGGAAACAAGAGAAGATTTTATATCTAAATATTAATGACGGTTCTTTGTGGAAGTATCTTCAAAATCTTAAAAGAAGTAGTATTAACAATAGATCTATTCATACGGATACTAAAATAGCCTTACTCACTTAAAGATAAAGTTGATATTTTCGCTGAATACCTGGAAAAGCAGTTTACTCCTAATATGGAGCCCATGAATCAGACCTTTGAAGATGTGCTGGAAAGCTATGTGTATTCCTGGTTTCATTCTTCTTCGGCTCATAACATCCCAAGGCTTACTTCTCCTATGGAAATTGCTAATATTATTAGATATCTCAACATCATAAAAGCTCCTGGAAGTGTTCAAATTACTAATAAAATGCTTCGTAACTTAACTAAAACTCTTATCAGTAAATTCGCCATATTCTCAGCGCTAGTCTTACTCTCAACTATTTCGCTGATCCTTGGAACCAGGTCAAGATCTTTCTTCTTCCCAAACCGGGTAAGGATGTGACCAAACCTGATGGCTATCATCCAATCAGTTTGTTATCAAGCCTTGGCAAAATTTATGAAAGACTTATAAGAGTGGAACCTTTTCTTCACCTTCTACCTAATGATCAGTACGGATTCAGGAAAAAAACTCAGTACTACTCGACAACTTGTAAGAATTGTAGAATTTGTGGAATCTGCATTCCATAACAAGCAAAGTGTTGCGCTCCTTATGCTGGACGTGGCAAAAGCCTTTGACCGCGTCTAGCATGAGGAGCTCATCTTCAAGCTTATCAATTTGGGACTTCCCAGAGAACTCATTTCTCTGATCTTCTCCTTTTAGCAGAACCGCACTTTCTTCGTTGCTCAAGGAAATGAAAAATCCAATTCAAGACCTATAAGATCCAGCATCCCACAAGGAAGTATTCTCGGTTCAGTGCTGTACTTTTCTACATATCAGACTTTCCATGCCCTGGTTTGGACAATTACTGTTTGTTAGCATGTTATGCCGATGATACGGCGATTGCAATTAAATCTATCCAAGCTAATCATGCAATAGACAAAATGCAAAATTACTTTATGCTGTAGAAGATTATTGCACAAATTGGGGTGTAAAAATCAATGCTAGTAAGTCACAACTTTTAATTCTCAGCAAAACTAAGAAAAGCATTGCTTTTAAAGATCTCTACCCTTTTCAAGAAGCTGTTCCTTTGGACACAAAGGCCAAATATTAGGGCTCACATGGTTCAACCACATTAAAAGTGTCAAAAGCAAAGCCATGGGCATAATATGCAGATTTTTGCCGGTCATTGGAAAATATTCAAAGCTTAGCTTGCGCACCAAAAGACATATTTATATCACTTGCATTCGACCGATACTTTGTTATGCTGCTCCTGCTTGGAACACGGTCACTCAAACTCAACTGCATCAATTACAAGTAGGGCAAAACAAATTTCTGCGCATTATTTACTGATTCACACTTTCTTATCCGTAATGAACTTTTACATAGAGACTTAAAACTCGAGACGATTCCAGATTATATCATAAAATCTAATGAAAAATTCTTCAACAAAGCTGTGCAATGTGACTTTGTTAATTACTCCCAAGTCTTTATATGAAATATCTTCGAAGTAGAACCTCGAACCACTTTCGGCTCACACCTTCATGGGAGGCGACGACTACTTTATTTATTTTTAGCTCCTCAATTGGTAGCTGTTTATACTTCCAATGTATCTGATTTTCATTGAAGTTCTTCTGTAGTTTGAATATTGTTCCTGGAGATTGATAAAACTAGTGCTGTAAGATTTTTCGCATTGTTGTAATGAAATAGTAGTGTTGTAACTAGGTAGCCTAGGTTGTTGTTGAATTGCTGTAGTAAATTGCGTTGTATAGATTATATCAGAAAATCTAATGAAAAATTCTTCAACAAAGCTGTGCAATGTGACTTTGTTAATTACTCCCAAGTCTTTAATTATGAAATTATCTTCGAAGATAGAAGCCTCGAACCACTTTCGGCTCACACCTTCATGGGAGGCGACGACTACTTTATTTATTTTTAGCTCCTCAATTAGTAGCTGTTTATACTTCCAATGTATCTGATTTTCATTGAAGTTCTTCTGTAGTTTGAATATTGTTCCTGGAGATTGATAAAACTAGTGCTGTAAGATTTTTCGCATTGTTGTAATGAAATAGTAGTGTTGTAACTAGGTAGCCTAGGTTGTTGTTGAATTGCTGTAGTAAATTGCGTTGTATAGTTGTATTGAATTGAGTTGTATTTAGTAGTATTGATTGAGGTTGTTTCGCTGTATTTGAATTTGTCATTGGAACCATTGCTGTAGAGTATGTTTCTCATATTATTGTCACTGATTTGCATTGTCTTGGGTTCTTCTTGAAAGCTCCGATCGCTCATCACGTTTTGCGAACTAGTCTGATTGAATTGTCTTGCTTCTTTTGGTATTTCTTATCTTCCCCTTTTCTCCGTTTTCTCATCTGAGATTTTCTCCATGTCCGGATTTCTTTATGTCAAGTGCCCTTGGGCTTTAATTCTGGAACCGGCCACGTTGCTCTTCGCAATAGCTCGATCAATTATAAAGTCTAAGTCTAGTCTTTGTCGCCGCTCTTCCCTTCTGTCTTTCTTTGTTTGAATAGTATGACGCAGTAAATTTAAATTTAGTCTAAATTACTATCGCTCAAGTAATCATGAAGAATCTAACAAAATAATGATTTAACATTTGAATTTAATAAAGATGTGGAACCAAAACAGCTAACCTCTTCTGTGTCATCATTTCATGCCAAGCTTTATGAGTGTGCCCGACTGCCAAACTATGACAAATTAAAAAAAAAAAAAAAAAAAAAAAAAAAAAAAAAAAAAAAAAAAGTCGAACAAGATAATAATGAGGCGAAGATTCTCTTCAGTGTAGAGGCTGTTTTTCAAGTGATTAGTGGTGTTGTGCGAATGTTTATGTTTTTGGATATCAACAAATTCCAATGACTGCGCAAGAAAAAACAAAAATGGAAAATAATCATTAATGCATGTTAATTTTCACAAAATAATGAATATTTTTATCACTTTATACGTGTGAGTGCAATCCTATAAAAAATCTAAAAAATTCAAAAATATAATAATTATTTCAAAAAAAAGCCCATCGAACGAGATCGCGTACCTTTAGTTCGCATTTTGCCAAGATCAGAAATTTACGAAGCAATAAACACCTCAAAGAGTTTTCTTTCGAAGGTTTTTAATAAGGAAACTTATCAAAAAGAATAAAGTTTTTATTGATCTGTAAAAACAGTTTTAAACAAACGCAGTTGTTGTACACAAAATATTACATTGTCGGCATAATGCACTTGGGGTTCTTCATGAATGTTACCTGCAAAATGAGAAAATGGCAAAATTATTTCATGCATACAGTTCATTCCAGCAACACTAAAATGTAAATAAAGCCGCTAAAATCCCACGTAAATTAATTCAGCTATAAGCGTCCAATAAAAGATAGTCTAAATGGTTAGTTTTCTGTTTCGAGTTCTGTGACGTACATGCTGTGCAACACTTAGAACATAAGAGTTCCTAAATAATTAGATACGTAATTGACACATTAGCCAAACGGCTAATCTGATTGGGTCGCCATTAGATTCTTTCGTGTCATTCGGCAGCAACGGACTAAACTTCCGAAAACTCCAAAATTTTATATGTTTAATAAATTTTAAAAATCGAAAATTTGATGTGCATTCCAGAGCAATCTAAAAGTTCACCGTCACTTAAAACGTTATCTAAACATATCAAGTACTCTTCTTTCCTCCAGAATACTTGAATTCAGTTGGAATATTGGATATATCTCCAATGCATTCATTTTTTGAAAAATTGTTTCACAAGAATATAGTAAAAATAAATTTAAATAATCCTCTTGCGCCATTGCTGCAACGAATGAAATTTGAATTTAACAAATATTCTCTATTCTTAGAAAGCTAATATAAATTAAAAATTTAATTATGAAATTTGAATTGCGAATATAAAAATTAATTATTGCTGTGAACTAATTTACAATATCATTTAAATTCTAAGAGCATATCTAAATTAAGCGCAAAGATGACACGATTTAAAGCGATGAAAGAAATATATAATATTCCAAAAAATTAACTCCCCAAATTTTTTTAAAGAATGTTTAAGACCAAATTAATTTGCATACGTGAATAATTGTTAAGTAGGCAGGAGACAGATGTTAAAATGTTTATTCGAACTTTTAATTTTATTTCAAAAAAATGTTTTTCGAACTTTTTTTCGGAAACATTTTTCCGAATTTTTACAATCCTTAGCACTTTGCAATATATATTTTCACAAACAGTAACAGTTAGCAATTTTTACAATTTTTACACATTTTTATAATGCCTTACAGTTAGCAACATTTTTGCACACAAAACAAACATTTTACATTTTACATTACTTAAAAGTTTACAGCATAGGTTTTTACAATAGCTCACACAGGTAGCAGCTTAACACGCAATTTTACAATGTATTAACGCCCTAGCTATTACAGTGTACTAACGCCCTAGCCCTACCTATTAGTTAGCAGTAACAAACTACTCAACCTCACTTAGTTTAGCAAATGCTAATCCACTCTCAGGAATACAAATGTGTAGTTACTAGGTAAGTTAAATTAAAACTTGTTATTTACTAGCCTTTTTAGTATTACTTTTGTATTTTTGTGTTTTGATAGAGTGTATATAGTTTATTTTAGGTTTACATGCATAATTCGTGTAGGGGAAGTTTCCAACAGGCAAGGGTTTCTAAATTCTTTTATTTTCTAAAAAATTTGGTTTTCGACTCATAATTATATTGGCAATTTACTAATGAATATTTTAATTCCTAGTCAGTTTACTTGATAATTTTCTCAAAATTCCCCACTAGTTTAAATTTCGTTTTTAGTAATTCATAACATTTGGTTTTACTTTTGGTTTTGAATATTACTATATCCCTGCCTATATAGATGACGAAATACGAATTGAGTAATTGAAGAGTAAGCTTTGGAGACAACTTCCCCTTGATAAGATCTGTCTCCTGCTCAACAATTATTCACTCATGCAAATTAATTTGGTCTTAAAAATACTTGAAAAATTCTTGGGATTAATTTTTTGGAATATTATATATTTCTTTCATGGTTTTAGATAGTGCACTTAATTTACATATACTCTTAGAATTTAAATTATATTGTAAATTAGTTCACAACAATAATTAATCTTTTATATTTATAACTTACCTAGTAACTACACATTTGTATTCCTGAGAATGTATAAGCATTTGCTAAACTAAATGAGGTTGAGTAGTTTTTTACTGCTAACTCTATAAATAGAGGGCGCTAATACAATGTAAAGTTGAATGTTAAGCTGCTACATGTGTGAGCTATTGTAAAAAACCTATGCTGTAAACATTTAAGTAATGTAAAATGTAAATTATTTTTTATGTGCAAAAATGTTGCTAACTGTGAGGCATTGTAAAAATGTGTAAAAATTGTAAAAATTGTTAACTGCTACTGTTTGTGAAAATAGATGTTGCAAACTGCTAAGGACTGTAAAAATTCGAAAATATGTTTTTGAAAAAAAGTTCGAAAAACATTTTTTGAAGTAATATTAAAAGTTCGAATAAACATTTTAACATCTGTCTCCTGCTTGCTCAACAATTATTCACTTATGCAAATTAATTTGGTCTTAAAAATTCTTCAAAAAATTTTTGGGGATTAATATTTTGGAATATTATATATTCCTTTCATGGTTTTAGATGGTGCACTTAATTTAGATATGCTCTTAGAATTTAAATGATATTGTAAATTAGTTCACAGCAATAACTAATCTTTTACATTCGCAATTAAAATTTCATAATGAAATTTTAAATTTATATTAGCTTTCTATGAATAGAGAATATTTGTTAAATTCATTTTAAAAAAAAATATTTTTTCTTCTTGCTTTGTCGTTATCACGGAGTTTGATCTCATTCGTTAAATTATTTACTGTAATTAGAAATTGAAAATTTTGATATATAGACCGCGTGCTACCAGTTTGTACACGACACCTAAGTTTGATGGACATGAGACCTACCAGGTAACTTCGGCATTCCGCCGCTTCGCACACAACGGCAGTCTGGTGGACGGTGTATATTTGCTCGTTTGGCACACTATACGAGTACAATAAAAGCCGCCTTTAAGCACTAACTTTACACATGACGCCAACCGAAATTTGGTGTCTTGTGCAATTTTGAGTATTTCAGAAGTATTTAAAATGGCCCTAAAACACAGCCAACTGTTAATGTTTAAAAAAATGAGATAGTATTTAAGCTTTTCTTTTTCAAATTTATAAATAAAATTTTATATTATTACGAATATGTTTAATATAATTAGCAATACAAAGAAGACAAAGAACACTTTTTGAATTTACCCCGTTCTCTGTTACGCCTTTGCCCAGACATTCATACATTTTTTCGCAAGGACAAGCGAAGTAGAAACATATCCTTTTCTGGTTTGTAAAGAGAAGTGGCTACGCAACGTTGTCCTGGAAAAATATAATTCATTAAAAATGCTAAAAAAATTAAAATTTTATATTAATAAATAATAATATATTATATTAATAATATTATATATATATATTATTAATATTATAATAATAATATATTTATATTAAATTAAAATTAAAAATTTATATTAATAAAGGTTCAGACGATAAAATCTATACAGGGTCATCTTAAGCAATAATTGTACAGAATATTACAAGAGGAACAACAGCCGCGATGCTACCTCGCCATTTTTCCAGACTGCGGTGGTGATCTGTCAGCAATGGGGACGAATTTTTAACCGTGCTACGCAATATTTATGTTAATGAAAAATAATGGCAAAATTGTTTTTTATCTGATTATAATAATAGAATGATGATTATTGACGAATAGAAAATAGTAGTGCTTCAGTAGACAGATATCGAATACAATCGCTTGAATTGCCTTTTTAATGTGTTCAAAGTACACTGACGATCATTGAGGATGTGATACGTCCTCTTCAGGACTATATCAGTGCATTCTTTTAGTAATGTTACATACCATAATAATATCGTAACGCAATAAATCTTCTGATAATGCAATAAAAGTAAGTACATATAATTTCATTTATCTACTATTTATGGTAAGCTGCTTTTCGTTTTAGTATGGTAGTGTTATCAGTTTCCTTGGCTTTGATCATGGTTCACGAGTGGCAGATTATCTGTTGCGAGAATAACTTATGTGCAGGTTTACACTGATCAACAACTTGCTTTCTTACACTACAGCATTTTAGTAATCCGTATGTATTTTCGCTGCTTATTCCGATTATGAAATCAAAATATCTTCATCGGACTGTATGGTTTGTAACTGAAAGGATCATTAATAGTATAATTAATGTCAATTTATGCTTATTGCTAACAGTCCGATACGCAGTGTCTGTTATGCAGAGGGTGTTTGCAAACTTTCAAAATGATTTCGATAAAGAATTTTTAAGCAGATGGAATAAAATTTTCTGGCAGCTTCCAAATGAGAAATATCATACGCTACCTTATTATTCTTTCAAAATGTCTTAAGTAAACAAACTGTGGTTGAAGGATATGTTTTCGCTCTTTAAAAAGAGAAATATATCTATTCCATAATTCAAAAACATTGTGAAGTGCATGATATTGTTGCGTAGATGAGGGGATCCTACAAATGAACATGCAAGTGCAAGTCTAAACTCAAGACTTTTTATTAACTAGAACTGAATGAAGAGCTACATATATACAGATGGTGAACATGCTTAAACATTCCAGACTAGGAATGTTCTGGAAGAATAAGAAGGAAATTTACATAAATAAGACAACATTAACAACAAGGAAATTTACATAAAAACCAATTATCAGGTATCTTGCCGTTGATGGGTTTCGAACCCAGTACTTTCGGGTTTCGAGTCCTGCGCCTTCTCCGCTTCTCCTATGAGGAGCTCGGTCGAAACGAGCGATTTTCGCTACATTTTCCCCTTCTTAGGAAGAAGCAGCGTCCCGCTGCGATCTGGTCTGGCTTCTTGTAACAGGTCTCCTGGATATATTGTGCTTTCTTTCATCGTCTAGTTGTACTTTCGGATCAAGATAGGGCTTCAACCTCAATACGTGAACGATGTCTTTTGAATTCCGTCGTTTCTTATTTTGTTCCATACTTTCTACTTCGTACGTCACGTCAGAGAACTGTCGTGTTATTCGATACGGTCCAAAGTAACGTCTTAGGAGCTTTTCGGATAACCCAACCTTTCGTACTGGAGTGAAGACCCAGACAAAGTCTCCGATGTTGTAGCTGACAGGTCGATGTCTCTCGTCATATCGGCGCTTGTCTGTGGTTTGCGCTTTAAGAATATGGAGTTCTGCAAGCTATCTAGCTTCTTCAGCTCTAGTGATCAGATGTTGCACATAACTATCTTTGGAATTTTCGATACTGTATGGGAAAATTACGTCGAGAGGAGTCTGGATATCTCTGCCTATAAATGAGAAAGAATGGGCTGAATCCCGTTGTGTCTTGTTTTGGCTGAATTATAGGCATAGGTTACAAATGGTAGAATAGTATCCCAATTTTTCTGTTCAACGTCTACGTACATGGACAACATGTCTGCCAATGTTTTATTGAATCTTTCAGTTAAGCCATTGTCTGAGGGTGGATAAGCAGTCGTCAGCAGATGAGACGTCTTGCATAGATGAATTACTTCTTTAACAACACGTTGGATAGGAAGTTGCGTCCTCGGTCACTTATCATTTCTTTGGGGGCACCATGCTTCAGTACAATTTCTTCAACTATAAACTTGGCAATTTCGGTGCCCTCAGCTGTCGGTATTGCCTTTGTGACTGCAAATCTGGTAAGGTAATCTGTGCAAACTATAATCCCACCGGTTCCCATTTCGAGTAACAGGAAAGCGTCCAAGTAGATCTATTCCAATTTTTGTAAACGGTGTGTCAGGAGGTTTTATATCGGATGAAGCTGTCCTGGTGGACATTGTGGCGGCGATTTCCGTCTTTGGCATTCTTAGAAGTGTGATATATACCATGTGCTTCCATATAGCCCTGGCCAATGGTACTTCCTCCTTATTTGGTCGTATGTTTTAGCAAATCCAAGATGATCAGCAGTTGGAGCATCAACCATCATGAAGACTTCTTAGAACCTCGCTACGAAGTTGCTTTGGTACCACCAAGAGCCATTGCTGTCCCATAGGATCATAGCTTCTTTTGTACAGTATACCATTTCTTATTTGATAATTTTGATATGCGTCACCTCTCTTGAGAGTTGTAATGATGGATTTTAATCGTTTGTCCTTCTGCTGCTCTTTTCCGTAATCTACGATCGCTGCAAAGAAAGGGATGTCTTCATTGTTCTCAATTATTGGTTCTATAAGAGGCTTCCTTGATAGTGAATCTGCATCGGAGTGTTTGCGACCGCTCTTGTAGACGATATTTATGTCGTATTCCTGCAACCTGAGAGCCCACCGTGCAAGTCTTCCGGATGGATCCTTAACATTGGCCAGCCAACATAAAGAGTGGTGATCTGTGACTACCGTGAAGGGTTTTCCGTAGAGGTATGGCCTGAATTTACTAATTGCCCAGATGACGGCAAGGCATTCTTTTTTCGGTGGTGGAATAGTTCCCTTCAGCTGCAGTAAGGGACCTGGATGCATAGGCTATTGGTCTTTCTTTGCCATCCTGGATCTGAACCAGTACTGCACCGATACCATAGCCGCTAGCGTCAGAATGTATCCTGGTTTCTGCGTCTGGAATAAAATGTCCCAAAACAGTGCCAACTGGTCAGCAGCCTTTTGAGCGTTGCGAAAGATTCAATCTGTAACGCGTTCCAAGAAAAATTTTGCATCTTTCTTCAACAAGTCATGTAGGGGCTTTGCGATATCTGCGAAATTTTGGATAAATCGTCGGTAGTAGGAGCACAAGCCCAGAAAACTTCGGACATCGGCGATATTTTTCGGAGTAGGGAACTTTGCTACAGCCTCTACCTTTTGTGGATCGGGATATATCCCATGTTGATCGACTAAGTGTCCCAATATAGTCAGCTTCTTTCTGCCAAATGAACATTTCTTGGAATTTAGCGTCAGTCCTGCTCTTTGGATACATTCCAGCATTTCCCTCAAACGCTTTTGATGTTCTTCGAAATTAGGTGCGTACACAATTATGTCATCGAGGTAGCAAAGACAAATATTACATTTGAGACCTCTTAGTACCGTGTCCATCATCCGTTCAAATGTGGCTGGAGCATTGCATAATCCGAACGGCATGACTTTAAATTCATAGAGACCATCTGGAGTCACAAAAGCTGTCTTTTCTCTGTTTGTATCATCAACCTCTATTTCCCAGTAGCCTGACTTCAGATCCATCATAGAGAAAAGTTTTGCACCAGCCAGGCAGTCCAAAGCATCATCGATGCGAGGTAACGGATAGACATCCTTTTTAGTTACCTTGTTCAAATTTCTGTAATCGACACCAAAACGCCATTCACCATTTTTTCTTCTTCACAAGCACGACGATGGAGATGACCATGGACTATCTGATGGTTGTATCACATCTTCTTTTAGCATTCGTTGCACTTCGTCTGCAATCACACGCCTCTCAGTGGCTGACACACGGTATGGCCTTTGTTTGATTGGTGCACTGTCACTCGTATCAATCTTGTGCTTCACCGCATTGCATCGGGATTTTTTCGAAATACTGTTAAAGTCAAAAATATCACCAAATTCATCTAGTAGACTCAATAGCTCGTTTTCCTCAGCATTGGTCAAATCAGTACCGAAAATCTCTTTTAAGTTTTCTTGAGATAACCTTTTCCTGGACCTATGTCTCTTGGAACCTGCTGGAGCCTGATAACTTAGGGAGCAAATAGCCTCGTTTTTTATGGTCGTTAAATAGCCTACATTCATCCCTTTCGGTATCAGTTGGGTTCGTCGAGAACAATTAGTTACCCATAATTTACCACAACCATCCTCTATAGTGACAATTGAGGCTGGTATCAATAGTTCTTTTTCGCACATCAGAAATCTGTTTCCAACAATCATAGCTTCATCTGTTTCCCATAGCTCTGAATTCAGGGCATACATTCGCTTTGTGGTGTTTGCTTCAATTACATAATCGGTTGCGGCAAACAAGGAGAGCTCTGACTTATTTAAATATTCATTGTCTGGAAGGATTTCTGCAAGTATAAGTTCTTGATTTCCACAATCGACAACGGCATCGGTGTGAAGGAAAAAGTTCCATCCAAGTATCATTTGATGACTACATTCAGGAAACACAAGGAATTCAAACGGTTTCTTAGTCCCATTCAAATCAACTTTCAATACAAAGCGTCCCGAGGCAGCTACAGTTTTACCACAGGCAGTTTTCAATACAGGTCCATTCTCAGCAAACATAGCTGTCGACGTAACTGTTCGGATATGACAGAATAATAGGCCCCCGAATCAACAAGGGCTTTCACACACTGTCCGTTAACGGTGATAAAAGTGTTATTCTTTCCAACTGGGCTGTGGTGTACGTCAGAGGATTTTCTTCAACTGAGGCCTCACCTCCTGTACTGGTCGCTTGAGCTAGATTTCCTCGTTGGTTCGGCGTGGGGAACGGCTGGAACGGCGTACTGGTGACTGCGATTGTCGGCGGTTGAGAGAGCGTCGCGGATAAGGTGAACTGCTCCTTATTCGGGAAGAACTAGGTTGTGCATAGTCGTCGTCTAAGCTGTATGTAGATTCAGTATCCCTGTCCAGTCGAGGGTTGGACGTCTTTTGCGGCTCTTGCATTTTCAAATATCTGCCGTTGCATTTTCAAATATTTGGCGTCTTTCCCTACAGTACCTCAGAACATGTCCTGGACATCCGCAATGAAAACAGAGAGGCTCATTATCGTCAGTCCTCCACAGATCTATCCTACGTTGTGGAGCAGTTCTCTAGCTGGCTTCACGTCTTGGTTGCGACCTAACTGGAAGTGAACATTGGGTAGTGTTTTGCTTCTCCCTGCTCCTGTGAGTGGTGCCAGCGCCTCTATAACCTCTTCCCGGAACACAGATGCTATGTCATTCGGTGCTACGGGTTCTATTTCCGTGTAGCGCTGAACTTGCGTAAGGACCTTCTGAAGCTCTTCCCTGACGATGGTGCGCACTATAGACTTTAGTTCACCGGCGTCCGAATCGGCCGACACCGCGGAGACATTAGGCAGCGTCTGGAATCGTGATCGGGGGCGATACGTCTTCGTCGAAGGCTTTCTATGTGACGGCAGCGTTTCACGAAGGCATCGACGCTGTCATAGTCCTGGGACGACAGGACCTGGTACAAGTCTTCAGCAATAACTTTCATGAGATGGGCCACTTTTTCGTCTTCAGACATAGATGGGTTTCCTTTCCGGCAGAGAGCGAGAACATCTTGAATGTATGCTTCAGACGTCTCATCGATTTGCTGAGCACGTGTGAGTAGTACTCGTTCAGCTTGGCGCTTTACATCAGCTGCTCGGGTATAGGTGTTCTTAAGAGCAGTCCTGAAAACAGTCCAACTGGTAAATATATCTTTATTATTATCGAACCACTGTCTAGCGGTTCCGCCAAGGTAAAATATGACGTTTGCCAGACACATTTGATCATCCCAGTGGTTATAGTTGGCGATTCGATCAAAGTCCTTGAGCCATCTACTAGTATCTTCCTGGCTATCCCCGCTGAATATACACGGGCTTCTGGGTAGTTGGTACGTCAGGATCGGTATTAGTGCGATAGTACTTGAAGTGGAACTGGCTGCTGGATGATTCTGCTCGGTTTCCTTCTCATCAACCATTTTTCTCGATCTTTTACGCGAATCCTGTAAGAGCCCAAACTCAGGAGGAAGTCCTCGAATCCGCAGGCTTCGGCGTAACTCTGCCGTAGTAACTGAGAAATACTCGGCGCCTCCACCAAACTGTCACGTAGATGAGGGGATCCCACAAATGAACAGGCAAGTACAAGTCTAAACTCAAGACTATGACTATAACTGAATGAAGAGCTACTTATATACAGCTGGTGAACATGCTTAAACATTCCAGACTTGGAATGTTCTGGAATAATAAGAAGGAAATTTACATAAATAAGATAACATTAACAACAAGGAAATTTACATAAAAACCAATTATCAGGCATCTTGCCGTTGATGGGTTTCGAACCCCTTTACTTTCGGGTTTCGAGTCCTGCGCTTTCTCCGCTAAGCTATGAGAAGCTCGGTCAAAAAGAGCGATTTTCGCTACAATATTAAAATTTCTAAGGACAAAACCATCAATAATTATTTCTACACGTAAAAAAGACTCCAAATGAATACTTGAAAACGGTATATACGTTTTCTAATGCTTGCTAAGTTAAATCACTAGTAACAAGAGAAAATCAGCTTACGCAGAAAGCAATTACAAAGTCTGTAAACATAACTGTAGCAACAATAAATAAAATAAAAACTAAGATCTATAACTTGAAAGTCTAAAACACATAATGTTGACAAGCTGGTGCCGAGGTATGTTTCTCAACGCAGAACAATTTATAGAACCTTGTATAAAAACTACCAGGAGATAAAGGGAAATACAATGTGGCTCTTGATAAGCATGGGTTTATTTAAATGAAAAGGTCTATCTGTAATCGGAAAAAGATAAAAAATAAGAAACCTGATTCTGTCAATGCAAAAAAAATTTCAGTGAGGAGTGTATTATTGTCGCAGGATTCTCTTACAACAGGAAATTAAGATGAGTGGAAAAAATGTTAAAATCAACTCAAAGTACTATCACTAGAAAGTTTTACGTTCAATATTTAGGCAAGCAATTCCATTTCTTTATCCCAATAAGTTTCAAAGAGTGAAACTTCATCAGGATAAAGCAACAAATCGTACTTCGAAAAGTACTCCTGTATTCCTTGAAAAAGTGAAGACTAATAAAGTCATTGTATATATATCTTTTCAATGTATTTCTGCAAAGTCCCCTGACGTTTCACTGACAGACGAGTGTGCCTTTGGTCTTTTAACAAGATCTCTTCCTAAATGCAATCCCATGACGATTGGTGGAGAGTAGTGGAAGAGGAATTAAAATCAGTACCGCCGGAAATTTTACAAAAATTCCTTCTATCCTAGAAATCACGATGCATATTTATAGTCCAATAAAAAGGCTTTCTGATCAAACGTTTAGAAAAATACTATTCACCTTTTAAACATTAATTAAACGGCTCCTAAAAATCGTTCTATAAATGTGTAAACATTCTCTGTAGAAGACATTTTTCTACGTTTTTGAACATGGACGGAAATGGTTGGTCCATTTTTTTAAAATTTGACAAGTCAATGGAGATGCATCGGCTTGCTTCTATATTACGGTGAAGGGAAGGTCTTAGAATGATTCCTTGATCTTCTACAATGCGAATCGTACTTTTTGGCATGCTTGTAACAAGAGATATATCTTTTATAAACCAAGTGTTATCAGGAAAATGTCACTGTTACTCTTACAAATTTGTGAATATAAAACGTCTTGTATTCTGAATCAAAGAAATTAGATCTTGTTGAACCAAATTCTCGAAAACAAAGAATAAAAAAATTCAATTTTCTTAGACATCTGATGATCTAATTTTCATGGACGTTGATGGCCTTCCTTGCCGATCAACATGAATCAGTTCTGAGGAGCCATGTCCGAGATGCTGGTAGTATTTAACTATGGCTTGTCATGACAATGCCTTTACTGCATCGCTCTAATTTCTCAATAAATCACTAAAACAAATCATCGCATTTCAACCTTAGAATCCATTCTACTTTCCTTCTACGATGCACTTACTACCACTACTACAATGACATTATTTCTATCGTAAAACATCGGTACGAGATTTATTCTATACACATAGTAGATAGCGTTTATTATAATTATTTTTTGGATCCCCTTCTTTCCCTCGTTTTCAAAAGAGAATTTCTTGAAAAGAATTCTCTTCTGAATTGCGTGTACTATCAACTTAGCTATTAATTTAAAAATTTTTACTTTTAGCGAAAATTATTCTTGACTATAAATTTTTATAAAGCATATCGAATACAGTTTGTAGATCAATGCTTCTTTGATCATGTGGCTTTATATTCTTGTTACTGTTCTTATAAGAGTTATCAGATCAAAATATCCATTCATCATATCAAGTCAAATGGATTTACCTAAAAATAAATAGTTATCTTGATGGAAGGAAGGAAATTATGCAATACTCTTAGCCATTAAATAATTTGATTCATCAAGACTGATATTACAGAAATGATAATTTAGTAAAAATTTACTGACCAGCTTTGTATCGCTTTTCACAGAACGGGCTCTTGAAGAACATCGTGTCCAAACAACATTCATCTTCCCCGCAGTCAGACTGTTTCGTACATCTTGTAGCAGCCAAACTGACCTATAAACGTACGCGAAAAGTTTCAGTGAAAAGTCATTGGAAGTTAGTAATCGAAACATACTTTAATGACATATTTTATATGTACATACATTTTTGAAAATAATTAGAGGATATTATGATTTTGGATATAAACTTCGCATGAGGAAATATTTTGGTGATTGATATACAATGTATAGGAGATGTAAGGTATGAGAAAAGAAACCATAAACAAGGAATAATTAATATTTTTATTGGTGATATTTGTTGGTAAACAAAAACTGCACAATTTGTGCATATTATACATACAACAAAAATGTGATTTCTCGTATAGGAATGAGTTTCAATAAGGGGTGTGGTTTGCCCTGACCGAAAGAAATGTTGCACTTCTACGACGCATGGAATCAATGTCATTATCAATTAGGGACTGGGTTGTTCTCTCCCACTCCTATAGAAGCAAACTTTCAAACTGACGAATTGTTCCTTATAAGGGTGACAAGCAATTAGCAACTCTTCTACCTAGAATGTCCCAAACATGTGCTATAGGGTTCATATTTGGGGAATATGCTGGTCAATCCAAAGGATTCCTTTGTCGAAAAGGAAATTGTTCTGTAGAGAGCACGATGTAGCCGGGCGTTATTATCCATGAGAATGAATTCACCCCTGATTGCTGCAGCGTAAAAGAACGCAAGTATGTATGAGGATCTCATCCCTATATCGTTGAGCCGTTAGTGCTCCATTTCTGATAATGCGCTGATCAGTGCAGCCACTAAAAGAAATAGCTGCCCAGACCATCACTCCACCTCCGCCAAATCGGGAACGTTCATGCACAAATGCAGGAATATCCCGTGTACCAGGTTCTATGCAGATGAGAATCCTCCTATTTTCAAGTTATACATCAAAGCGGGGTTCGCCCGTGAAGAGCACGTTGCTCCACTCATCTTGTCCCCATCTGAGATGTTCCTGTGCTCGTCTTTTGCGGGCAGCACGGTGGTCCTGTGTCAACGAAACACAAATCATAGGTCTACGAGCATACAAACGTATATGCTGGAGTCGATTTAGAGCAATCTGAATCGAAACTCTAGCATCGGTAACCCTCTGAAGGTGACGTATAAGAAAGTGGCATGCATTCATAGTGTGGTTTCTTCTGGCCGTCAGTGTTCAATATCGATACTCATTTTGTGTTGTTGCAGGCGAACGACCTTGTTCGAATCTTTGGTGAATATTTTCAGTTTCTAAAAACTTCTAACGCTTTCGCTAAAACGGATTACATTTGACCCAAAATGACCGATGATCCTCCAGGTTACTGATTTAGCTATGACATCTCGCTGAGACATTACACTGTTATTCACTGTTACTGTGTATTCATTGTTATAAAACATTCAACACACGTGAATTGTTTTTAATCTCTTACAGAAGGAATGCTGCAAGTTGCTTTTCACTGCTTATCTGAAACTCGTGATTTTCGATATTATAGACGAAAATTTAAACTCTGTAACTTTCCTTTCTTATCCTCTTCTCTTTCATTTTTATTAAAAAAGTTGTCGATAATATGGTTATTTTTATACCCGAACTCACAATATCCTATAATTGTTTTGAGCAGTGTATACAAAGTGTGTGCAGTGTATATTTACGTTCTTTTCAAGTAAAGTTTTTGAGTGAATTTAATGACAAATGCCAGTGCTTACCTTTGTGAAAAATATTTTGAAAGATAATGTGCTATAAGCATATAGCAGAATGAATGTCATTCGTAATCAGATGTGTATGAATCCAACTATATTTCTGTCATAAACGTGTATTTACTGTGTAATCATTTTATCTAATTTTTTTTTTAAAGAGAGATAAGGATAGACCCAACTATTGCATTTATTTTTCTGGGAAATTTATGCTGCACTTGGTGCTGCGTTAGGAAAGACTGACCTGGATATTGTTCAAAGGGAATCAGGAATTTGAATAACGTAGACGTACATACTAGTTAATTTATTGTGATAAGCTATCTGTTCCAAAAACCCCGTGTCGTAAATGACCGTTGATAATCATACTTGTCTTATTTTTTAAGTATGGTCCATTGTGAATATCGTTTGAAATTTCGCGCGTGCATGAGAATGAATGCGCCGGCAAGCTCCCGACTTACTTTTTGAAGAATCCAACACCTTTTTGATTGACGGTGAGTGAATCTAAGTGGTATAGATTCACTCATTGTGATTCATTTCGTAGTGTGACATTAAAATGTTTAACTTAATCACCTTCTTGTGAATATTCATTGCAAGATATGTGAAGTATAGCGTGACAGCGCAATGTGTGACAGTAAAGCGCGAAAATGGGTGAGATTGCTTTCAAGAAAGGTCGGAACTCTGATGGAAAAGTGAACATGACATTTAATGTAATTGACTGTCATCACATAGACGGTTAGAATTCTATGAGAAAAGCATGCAAATACTCATTGTTCCTTCTGATGAATGTATAAACTCACGCGATCATTATGTAAAAAGATAGAGAATCGCATGTAAATTCAAAAATAACTGTTTTTTGAAAATTTTTATTTGCCTGGTTTTTATTGCAAAAAGGACATTATTTCTCAATGAATAGCATTCTCTTAAACGATACTTCTTTTACCCGACCGAGACCATCAAGCACACGGAATGGCGATTACCAAAGTGTCTAATTTCGCTATCAAACAATTATTTTACTATCTGCTACTTCAGTCAGAGAATTGTATTTCCAGTTCTTATTGTATCAACAAACTTATTTTTGTGAAAAAATAATAAGTCATTCATTCATTGTAATTTGTTAACTGAAGTAAATTGTTAACTTTTTGTTTAACTGAAGAAAAATAAGGTAAAATATACCAGGGCTACCTATCCAGTGCTGTGTAATTTATCAAGTAGACTTATTTCGGATTATGACGCCGAAATGACTTATTACATTTTTCTGTACCTTTACGTTTTCATGGTGTATCTGAATAAATGACACTGGCAAATAAGTACTCAAAGAGTGCTAAAAGCAATTAATTTCTGTTTTTCATGTTATTGCAATTGATCACCTTCCTAATTTTGAAAGTGAAAGTTCAATGCGTACAGGTAGATCCAAGATATCCTGCCTTTATATGCGTCTAAAAGAAATGCAGAAAATCTTCATAGTTTATTTTTCATGATGATTTTTTGTACTTCGATACACTTTTCACATCGTTTAAGTAGCGACTTCACGGTTCCTGGAAAAGTAATCTGAAGATCTATCTTGAAAATTTCCCGTAAGTGCGCTTTTCACGCCATCACCATCAGTAACGAACGCGTGCGATATCTCTAACAAAACTTGAAAGTGTTTTCATTTAGTATTGCTACTATCTGTCTGCATGAATTTATTGCCAAATAATTTTGTATATGTAAGGCCTAAAACTTTTAGAGTCACCTACCTTACCTACCTCTAAAGTACCTTCTTTTTTTCTCTCTAAAATTTCGACAGTCTTAAGGGATTAAACTTAGATTAAAATTTTTGGAAACCAAAAATCGAAAGTTTTAAATTTTAGAAAAGATAAATAGAAGTTTGTAGTATTCCTCACTCTGTACTACTGAAGTAAATGTTTAGAAACCTAGTGAACTGTCGAGAAACTTATCACTTAATTCAAATAACAGAAATCGTAAACTCAAGAAGGGTTAACTACCCTTTATTTCACTCAAAATATGATAAACAGTCGGCCCCTTTCTTCGGGCTTATAACAAAGCCTCTACTTGGGTTTAGATTCAAAAATAAGAAATAAGAACTAACTATATTTAAGAGACTTAACTAAAACAAACACAAATCTAACGTAGTTGGCCTTTAATCTAAACTATTCGGCGAACATCAAAAGGCACGTAATTACGCGGCCGAGCTTCTAGAGAGACTTAGCCCGAAGGCAAACAAGCGCTACTCAGGATTCCTAGCTGTCTCTCTCTAAGTAAAGAAACGTTGGGGAGTTCGTTTCCGGTTTGTCGGCCGCCTTTGTTTGGCTCTGTGTTTTCGCGTTTTACTCTGTGCTCCCGGACTATAAGAAGGAATCTAATGATTAAAAGTGTATGCTTCAAGTGTTCCGGTTTCTGAGGATACAAATTTTGTGAAATTTGTGCCATTTTTGGCGAAGATGTGATGTTTTTCGTCTAAGCCACAGCGACATAACATTGCGGTATAGTGGTGTGCGTTTGCCATTCTTTTGTGCTAAGTGGTGTGAATTTTGTGATTTGTAGTTGAGAAATTCGTAATCGGATTGCCTGTACGGATTGCAGCAATATGCGACTTGTGAAGGTCAGATAAGTACTAATATCACTTTTCGATGTTCTTTTAGGTATGTTTGCATCGTATGTTGGCATCCATTGACAATGCATTGTATTCGTTCTGCTTATTTTATATAATTACAGTGTTTATTGCTTTATATAAGTGTAATTTTCTTATTGTTCCTCGTACTATGTCTAAATATAAGTACGTTTTAATAAGCTTGAACAATTTTTCAATCCTATTATAACTTTTATACTTATTTTTGTACATTGAATTGTAAGAGACGCTAACTTACACCACTGTTCCTGGTACTGATTTTTAAACTGTTACCGGAAGTTGCCATAGGTTTTCTACTTTATTTTACAGTAGTATCTTTTAATATAATAATAATACGCTGATTATTATGTCTAGAGTTTTCACTTTTAAATTAATCTCACAAGTTGCCTTTACGACCTGGTTCTTTCTTATATAACTACACAGACCTAATGTTGAATTTAGGGTCATAGTGCTACTTGATATCTTTTCTTGATTGTTTTAATTTTGTTGCCATTATGTTCCTTAGGGTTCCTTCTCTTGTAATAAATAGCCTTTCAAATTGTTAATTTTTTAAAATTAGACTATTGCTAATTAGTGTTTTTTATTTTGATGGTTCTTTTCTGCATAACGTACTCATTTGCCATTGTATTTCAGTAGTAATGCTATATCTTGACTTCAACTAACAGGTTCTTCTTTACTTGTAAAGCGATTGCCTTGCATAGTGACTTTGTATACAGAAA